TGAACAGAGAATTCTCAAAAGAAGAAGTTCAAATGGCCAAAATACACCTAAGGTCATGCTCAACCTCATTAGCAGTCAGGGAAATGCAAATCAAAACAACTTTGAGATATCATCTTACACCTGTCAGAATGGCTAATCAAAAGCACTGATGATAGCCTTTGCTGGAGAGGCTGTGGAGGAAGGGATACCCTCATCCATTGCTGGTGGGAATGCAATCTTGTGCAACCACTTTGGAAATCAGTGTTTCGGTTTCTCAGGAAACTCGGGATCAAGATTCTGAGATCTTTAAGCTGCTATTTTGTCACAGTGAAGAGCTATTTATTGGTTTATGGTTTATTAGTAGGTCTTAGTCTCAACCTAAGTTCATATCAGCTGTTATTGTGATTCTCAATTCACAAATTTCAAACAATGAAGACCTGACCAAAGCTTTATCTTTACTTAACAAATATGTTCTTGCTTGGTTAATTGGGCAAGTGAAATGGCACTTATTCAAAACTTAAGTCAGCCGAATTGTCATCTTCTGATTTAGGAGATGAGAAACAGGTCTTACTATATGCTAAGTGTGAACTCTAATTCCCAGTGGTCAGTGGTGATATAGGAAAGATACATGATTTGGTTGGTTTTTATTTTTTTTTTATTTTTTGGTAATTTGTAAGAAGATAAAGGCATATTGGCCTCCAGAACCCTGAAATTTTTCTCCAATAGTTCAGGTAAACGGATATCCCATTTTTGTAACACCCTCTAGAAGATGTAAGTATAAAGTATGTGAACACTAGTAGTTTAATTCCTTAAATTCAAGTTGCATAGTAACACAGTGGGATGTATTAGCTTAAATTTTGAGAAACAGTAGGAACTTCCTCATAACTTTGCACTAGGAAAGAGAAAGGTGGAGAGCTGTGTTTTCAGACAAAAGCCACTTTATCAAAGAATTACATTAGATTGTTCATCCTGCTCAACCCAAAGAAGCATAAAGATATCTTGCACTACCAGCGCTGTATTAGGTGACTAACAGAGGGAGAGACACAGTAAACATAGAGAATGGACTTGGTACATAGTCTACTCTTCTGACACTATGTTTAACATCAAATAATTTAGGATCATTTTCGTAGGCTATTATGTCAAAGAAGGACTTGTAGATGAACTATTTAAGTACTATTGCCAGACATTTATCCTGTGCCAATTTCTACTCCAAATGTTTTGTTTATTTATGTTCATAATTGACCCATTTATTGAAGATATCAGGGCAATTGGTCATATACGTGCCATTTTTTCTATATCTCTGAAAGGAGAGCACTATGTTGATGGTGATTGTGTGCAGTTGTGTCCTCAACAGTGTTGTTATTGGTGAGTAAACACCTTTTCATATGTTGCCAACAAAAGCCTTCTGTCCTTCATTTACTGTTTTCAGATAAATTTATTTCTTTATTGTGTGTTACCATGCTTAAGTGAATATTCCTGCCATGGTACAAAGGTTACAGAGGACAAATTGATTTAATTGATGTTGTAAGTTATGGGATTCTGAGCCATGCTGATGGCATAATCATAGGAAATTATCAATTATTTTGACTGCTTGGCATACATGTACAATGAACATGGGCAATAATATATTTATTATCAATACATTGTGTAAATTGTTACAGGGAATTTTTATATTTATTTTCTTAGGGAGATGATTTTTCCCTTTCATTCTTTCTTAGATTGTGGCATTAGGTTTAACTGTAAAGTATAAGGATTTGTTACAGTTACTTTTATTTGTCTTGCTTGCCCTCACAGAATTTAATTTTCCCAAATATCTTTCAAAGGTTCTTCTTCAACTATCTCACATCCCCAACATTATTAGGTAACACCCTTGAGCATTAGTACTACTGGGTGAGATGTTAAATCCTTCTCCAGAAGAGCCTGAAGGAATACAAGGAAATTGCCCAGCCTCTTCTCAAGGGCTCCCCAGAGCACACACCAGCATGAATTTAAGGTTTGTGGTACTATCTAGGCATGTCTGGGCTTTGTAGATCATGAATATTTCTGTTTACAGGCATGCAGTCTTCACAGTGGAGTCTAACTGCCCACTGCTATAGGTAGAATGGACTCTATGCATTTTATTACAAACATAGGAGACACTTTATGTCACTTCCTTTTCAGAGTGGAATTTTCCATCCCCTTGATACTTTTCACACAGCTGTGCCAACCATGTGATTTGCATATTGCTCCCTAGGGTGAACCACTTCTCTCAAGTCTAAGACAAAAGTTAACCCTTGACTACTCAGGACATTTTATATCTAGTTCTAAGAATGAGGTGCACTGCTCAGCTGCTAGAGCAAATTATGTCATGAATCCCTGTTAAGAATAAAACGATGAAGAACAGCAGTGTGCAGAGTTGGGTATTTTGAAGGCTAGGCTGATGCATATGTTCTGTTCATGTATGAGATTGCCACTCTTGTTCTCCATGAATGTGCTTGTGAGGCTTAGAGGGCATAGGGAGAACTCATTC